CCCCAAAACCCCAAAACCCCAAAACCCCAAAACCCCAATATCCTTCCCCAAAATAAATATTAATGGAGAACACCAAGGACCCTCTCCCCTTCCTCTACAAACGTGGCATCGTCTTCTGAATCCTTCCCTACCTCGGCAGGTTCAAAAGCTGGAAATCCATTCTCAAAACCCACTGTAAAGAATCTGCCAAATTCTACGATGAGAATGAACCAGCTCTGAAGCGCCTACATTCAGTCACGAAGTACACAGACTTTTACTCGATGATGGATACTATTGGGGCTGACTGAGGAGTTGTGAAGAGCAAGAAGTTTACTGAGAATGGGTATTTGAGGATTTTTTGTGAGAAGAATGGGTTTAAGAGGATTTTGGAGAAGCTGGAGAATGCCAGGTTTAGGGTATATGGAAGATTGGAGATGAAAGGGGTGGATAAGGTGAAGCCTGAGGAGGTGAAGGGGTTTTTAGAGAAGTCTGAGCATCAGAGATTGGATTTTCTGGCAATGTGGTTTGATGAGGCGTTTGTGGGTCCTTTTATGGGTGGTATGAAGTATATACTACCTGTAGTTCATGAAGAGATCTTCTTCCATGCGATGAATTTTAGTTCAGAGGACTTACAGCATATCCTTAGTTTGAATAAATTTGTTAAAAGGATGGTCTTTTCGAACTGATTTTTTAATCCAAATTCTATATCTGACAAATCTGAGACTGGATATACAATTAAATACATCAGTGTTTTTGGAACTATAAACTCAAAAGATCGCTTAGATGAATTGTTTAAAGTCCTTAACAAGACAGATATCAAAGATTCTCTTGAAGCTATTCATATTTATGCCACCCATAACAGAACCTTAGATCTGCAGGAAGAGTTATATCTCCAAGGCTACTCAGATGTAAAAGTAATTGAGGATAATTACATTCCAGTTAACAAGACAATGGTAATGGAAAAATATAGCTAGCTGAAATTTCATAATTTTAATAAAATGTCGGTGAAAGGGGTTTTGGGGTTTTGGGGTTTTGGGG